ATTTAACAGGAAAAGGGAGCTCAGTTGTCACCTATAGGTTCCCATAATCTTCTTACAGGAACTTGCAACTGATAGGACTCAATCACGTCAACATGTCAGACATGCATTCACCAAACCCACCAAAAAAAAAAAAAAGTTGCATTCATTATATTTCTTAAGCACTCCAAAGAGATCTTGAGTCGCCCAAACTGCACAATTGGTTTGCAGATGTGAAAGAAAGCAAGGATGGAAATAGGGAACTGATATGCCTAAAATGCTATTTTAAATAAGTAAGATAGGTAGCTTCTATGAGTATTTGTCTGCAAATAAATTATGTACTTGCAGACTGTGCCTAAATTGAGCTTTCAAATGCTATTTATTACAATGTTAAAATTGTCAAACTACTTCAGCAAGCTGAAAAGTATTTCCAGAACAAATGTTTCTTCTCTGCTTGCAAAAAAGATGGAAAGAAGGGTAATTGAGAAAAGAAAAAATGACAGCCATGTGATATCATGTATTAACTCTAGACAAGGGAAGGGCAGCTTACCTCTGCAAAAAAACTTGGACCAATAAAATGACAAGTTATTTTCAAAGCTGTGTTTGCATTTTAGTCATGTTCTTCCATTTCGTCTTTCTCTTTCTATCCTCACCTCATGTTAGATGAAACTTTTTTTTGGGGAAAAAAAAAGCTATTTTCCACACATATATTCTGAACAGAGCCAAAATACAATCCAAAAATGAACAATCACACTTCAAAATACTTGAAAAATAAATATTTCTAGGTGACACATTTTTATAGGGTTATATTTTTTAATAGGGTTCTTAAAGGTATTTTATTTTCAGGAGCCACTGGCTTGACACTTTCTGATTTTTATTTCACAGAACCAAATTAAGCTGGCTACAACCGCGCTGAGAAGTCACAAAGAGGTCAGAAAGGAATATGTTCAAAAAGGTGAAGAGTAACTGCCTGCAGTTTCTGAGCTGCCAACTACCAAACAAGCAGCCACACTGTCAAAATAAAACATACTTTTCAGCTGCAAAAAAAGCCAAAACTCTACTATCGTACTGGAAATGCAAACAAATCAGTGGGATTATTTTAGCATACATGTCCAATACACCCACACCAGGAGATTCCTCTCCAGGCTTTTAATAAGCAATGAAAAAATTAACCCACATGACATTGGTATGCCATTTGTTTCATCTTCCCAATTGAAAGAAATATATTAACAATAACACTTTATACCTAAATTTGAGTTAGGTAGGTTTTTCATGTCATTTACAGAAGATTGGCTAAACATTAGCCCAAATGCATTCTGTTACTTATACCGTTCAAGAAGATTTCTGTGGCTGACATTCAGAACTTGTAGTATGTAAATCAAAAAACTCATCTGTAATATCCGAGATTTATCCTTAATAATTCTGAATCTATTAAAGACTTCAAGGTAATTCTTAGCCAACAATATACTAAAAGTCCTTAAAAAATGGTAGGCAGCTGGCAGCTTTCACTAACAAAAGATATGCTTACAGAACAAGAACTGCATCCACTTAAAGAGGTGACTTTTTCTTGATGAGTTACACTGCCTTTTAGGGTATTAACTCACTTTGAATTATTTGAGAAAATAACATTAAGCCAATATCTTTTTAACTCCTCTAAATAGTAAGTAACACATTTAAATTAAAGCTCAGAAAGGAAACTGATCTGAAAAATATTTCCAATCAAGGCTCTTTTATTACCTATGTCTTAAATTTCCTGCTGTTCTTCTGTAACTGAATGGTAACTAAGAAATTCTATACCATTATACACTTTACTGTTAAATACATAATTAGAAAATTCTGGTAAATGATATGTATTAAAAATAATCTTTCTTTTTAAATTCAAACTAGTAAAGGTCAAGCACATTATTTAAAAAAGAAACAAAACAAACAAAAACAAACAAAACAAAACAACAAACCACCACAACAAACAAAAACAAAAACTCAAACAAAACTTCTTTGAAATATTCCGTTCTCTCAGGATCCAACAACAACAAATGTTAATCACAGAATGACAGAATGCTTTAGGCTGAAATGGACCCCTAGAAGTCATATAGACCAAAATCCCTACTCTTTTTTCCCTTATATCCACTGTTTCTTGGGAGGAAGATAAATTGTATATATTCACCTTGCATTATTTGCTAGACATACAATACTGTTGCTTAATGAATTCACTCTACATCTCTTTAACATCTGCCTAGCCACTTGCTTTTTTCACACTGGTAGACTTAGAGATTTATTGTGTCTCTCATCATGCTTTGTCTTCCATCCTGAACTGCGAGTAGTTTTCTAAATAATAAAGAAGTCATTTAGAAGCCCTGTTGTTACATATCAGTCTAACATTGGTAATCCCTTTTACTAGAATCTTACCTTATTTTCTTCATTTGATTGTGATGTTAAAAGTAGAAAGCAAGCAAAAATTGAATGGGATACTACAGACTAGAGCATTGGCTATGTTTTGAAACATGCAAGCAGACGTTGCAGGTTGTGACTGAATGGAAGTTTCTCTCTTTAAAACTTTGAGGCTTTGAAATCACTTGAAAAATGCTCCAAATTTGTTTCTAGTATAATTAGCATTTAGTTAAATACAGAATTCAACTCATTACAGACTCCAGTCAGCAATCCTTTTATCACCTTATTCTCATCTTGCCATACAAGAGCTTAGAAGCACTTCAGTAAACTAATTATTCTCCTCAATGTATTTACAGGCTTAAATCTGTAAAAAACAATCAAATACTTCCATTTGACTATAGAGAACATATTCTGATCTATCTTTTATTTTTTACTTCCATGAAGTTTATTACTGGGTGAAGAACAGCTGTAAAACCAGAAACTTAGAAAACTAATTATAAAAGAAAACAAAATTGAACACTAATAACACAATCTTAAAAGGCTAGGCTACCTCATATGAATGGTTTCAACCTTCAAATTACTGCAAGTGACCACTAAAAGTGTAACAGCATTTAAAATCTACAACATTCAGAGTTATTTTGTGAATTATTAGCCTTCCTCTTCTATTAAGAGATTAATGCCCTCCCCAAAAAGAGCCAGAGCAATATCTTTTTCTTTTTTTTTTTTTTTTCCTCTTCCCTGATACATTGGAAAACAATCTTCCAACCCAAGATCATACCCAAAAGTTTACTACTTGCCAAGTTTTTATTAGCTAACTTTTTTTCTTTAAGTGTAATGGGAATAAGAGAAAAAGGAAGGCACTGTTCTTAAAAGCATGCATTTTTCTTGCTCTGCCCTTAACACTGTTTTTTCTTGAGCATTAGCTTCCAGGAACTCACTTTTGTTTTCTCAGCTTTTTTCTAATGACAAGTCATGTTACAGTAAGTCACATCAGGCTACATAAGTCATGCAGCAAATACACTGAAATGCTGAAAAACACTTTTCCCCTCAAAGCTATACTTACATCAGTAAAGAAGTTAAGAGCTTCCATAGGAAAAAATAATGCCTGCATGGTTTAGGGGAATAAATAAATAAATAAATAAAATAGTACAGTCAATGGCCAATTTAATCCCTATGTTAACTCTGGTTATTCACTGGAGCTAGGCATAATTCATTCCTGATGCATGCCCAAGAAAGAAATTTCAGTCTGGTTGTTGTATTTTGGTTTGTTTGTGGTTTTTTAGAGTCTTCAGAGAAAGAGGAGATGCCTCAAAACCAATCTGCAAAAGGCAGAAACAACAGATTTGAGCAAGAGATCTGTGCATATACAGAAGCAAACCCTGAAGATGTACAGTTCTGTACATTGCACACTCAAAATGATCTCTCCTGCTAGCTGACTAAAAGTAACATCCCACTGCAGCCACAAAGTACAGCTTCCAGTCTCAGAAAAAAAGTCTCCCCCAAAATAAAAACGGACTGAAAGTAACATACAAGATGCTTTTAAACTTAGAGAACTACAATCAAACAGTAAAGCCTTCATCTAAGAAGAGTTCTATAAAATGATGATCAGGAAAATACAGTTTGCCTGACATAGATTCTGCATACAACCTGATACACGCTCAGCAAGAAAGCAGGAGGATTAAGGCAGTTTGCAGCTCCAGAAACCTTACACGACACAACAGTCATTCCCATGTGTGGGGGGTTGACCCTGGCTGGACACGAGATGCCCACCAAAGCTGCTCCATTACTCCTCTCCTCAGCTGGACAGGAGAGAAAATACAATGAAAGGCTGGTGGAGTGAGTTAAGCACAAGGAGAGATCTATCATCAATTACTGCCAACAGCAAAACAGACTTGACCTGTATAAATTCATTGCATTTATTGCCAATCAAATCAGAGTAGGATAATGAGAAATAAAACCAAATATTTAAACATCTTCCCATCATTCTCTCCCTTCTTCCCAGGCTTAACCTTACTCTTGATTTGCTTCACCTCCTCCCCTCCCCTGGTGGCACAGGGGAGTGGGTGGGGAATGGGAGTTAGGTTCATTTTATATTGTCTCTGCTGCTCCTTCATCCGCAGGATAAGGACTCCTAACACTCTTCCCCTGCTCCAGCATGGGGTCCCTCCCACAGGAGACAGTCCCTCATGAACTGCTCCAATGTAAGTCCTTCCCACAGGCTACAGTTCTTCACAAACTGCTTCAGAGTGTGTCCTTTCCATGGAGTGTAACCTTCAGGAATAGACTGCTTGAGTGTTGATCCCCCACAGGGTCACAAGTCCTAGGGACCATCCTGCTCCAGTGTGGGCTCCTCTCTCCACAAGGTCACAGGTCCTGCCAGGAGCATGCTTCAGCACGGGCTTACCATGGGGTCACAGTCTCCTTCAGACACATCCACCTGCTCTGATGTGGGATCCTCCATGGGCTGCAGGTGTATACCTGCTCCTCTGCAAGTCTCCATGGGCTGCAGGTGAACAACCTGCCTCACCATGGTCTTCGGCACAGGCTACAAGGGAATCTCTGCTCTGGTGCCTGAAGCACCTCCTCCCCCTCCTTCTTCACTGACCTTGTTCTCTGCTTAGTTTTTTCTCACATACTCCCACTCTTATCATCTGGCTGCTTTTCTGCACAGGTCTTCTTCCCACTTCTTAAATACACTGTACCAGGGGCACTACCACCGTCATTGATGGACATGACCTTGGCCAGCAGCAGGGTCACCTTAATGTTGGCCAGCATTGGCTCTGTAGGACACAGGGGAAGCTTCTAGAGGTTCTCACAGATTACATTCTTGTAAATCTTGCCATGCAAACTATGACACCTGACATTATCACAGCTGCATGTTCTCCTCTTGTCCACTCTGATCAAGTTCAATATGACAACTTAATCCAAACAGCACTGCTTTGAAACAAAGCTGTTCAGTTCCTCTTCCTCCAAGGAACTCTTCACGGCTCACTGGGATTGTTTCTTGTCAAGGCAGGAGGGCTTCTGATATTAGTGGCCATAAATCCTGGAGCGTGGCACTCAACTACAAGAGGAACTGGTAAGGTCAGTGCAAAAATGTGCCAGTTGCCCTAAAATACGGGATATCTTTAAACCGAATAAGGAGCTGAAAAAAACCCACCTAACAAACAAAAAAACTACACCCCCAAAATTAAGCTATTCTTAAATAGCTTAAAAAAGAGATTTTTCTAACAGTATATGTGAATGTATTTACTCACAGCTCTTTACTGCCTTTAGGTCTTTGCAGCTATTGCACTACTGCACTGATAAGGGCTAGAAATCTTGAAACCCTTAACATTGACCTGCCATGAAAGATACGCTGGGAATGCCAGCATGTAATGCTTGTTTTTGGGTTTGGAGATTCTGAGAAAATCAGACAAACATGGTATTGCCAGGAAGCTTGTAAGCTGGTGGAATCTGAAAGCAGCTATACTGAAAGGGAGCCGGTGTGTCTGGGGTTAGCATTTCTTTGCAAAAACAGAGAAGGCTGGCTTTGAGAGACGAGAAACTACTTCTAACAAGTTTCTGCAGTTTATAGTCTACTGGTGGGCAAATAATGGGGAGAAAAAAAAAAAGAGTGATGTCATCTGTCCACTAGGATTCCTGGCTTCACCATACAAGGCTATAATTAATTGGGAGCAGGTGAGCCATCAGTCCCATTTCTAGCATCAAGTTCTTGGCTGTGTTGCAATCACTTCTTCTCAGAGACAGGTTCTGCTGTCACTAATAAATACCCGCTTCCATTCTTTAAGACAGAGTGATTACTGATGGAGAATGGGCAGCTGTACAAGAAAGTGGTTATTCTATGATTTAAAACATTCATGTATTGTGCTGAGCACTCTTACTCATACACTCCGCTGAACAGATTTCGTTATCATTACAGGCCAAAAAATATTGTTATACTCTGATGGCAGAAATCTTATGAAAAATAACATTGACTGCTGAGGAAGAGGGTAGTCACCAGCAGCTGTAAAGATTACTGGAACATCCTTTTCCCAGATCTTGAAAAATATAAACTTGCCTCATCCAGAACTATCCAGAATGTTGTTGCAAGATGACTAACCTAGTAAGTCTTTTTGAAAAAGGTTCCTCTCTACTGGAATACTTTTTCAAGCATTAAGTTGTTTTTCCTTCTCCATCCTCCACTGTATGCTCTCACTCTGCCTGGCAGCAGGAACAGCAACAATAAAGTATCCATGATTAAGCCACAGAGTTACAATTTTCAAGCGAGAATTTGTGAGCTTTCTTCAATGATACCCCACAGAGGTAGGGTGGATATTTCTGCAGAAAACCATTACCCTCCTCCTACAAAGTATTTGAAAAGCCATAGCTGAACTTATCAAAATGATTAATATTGTTTTCCTGTGCTTCCAGTTAACAGTCACCCATTGATTTTTGTCTTATCCTTGCACAGCAAATCACTAAGGATATTCTGCTGTAGTATGTGGTACAATACAGTCCTGATAAATAACCAAATAATAGAAATAATTTTGAATCACAAAGTACGCAGCTTGCAGATTTCCTTCCCTTTCCCTTCTCCTTTTTCTCTTTTCCCCAATTACTAACTCTATACCACTTCCCAGCTTGAAATATTTTGTTCTAAGAAGCATTGTAAATACCGGCACAAAACCTAGGAAGCCTGGTGGGAAGCTGTGGCTGACCCTGAAGGAAAATTAGACAGCTGTCTACAAACTCTCTCAGCTGCTGTTTTCAATTTTGCTTTTTTTCTACTGAAAAATATTTCACATATAGAACTTCAAACGGCCAACTCCATTTCACTCTATTTTCCCCATCCCACCCAGTTCCTGCAATATTTGAATACTTCAGAACTGCACTTTCCCCAAGGACATGATGTAGCATCCACCCGCTAACAAGATAGACATACCCAGTGAATAGAAAAACAGTGTATTTGTTCAAAATAAAATACTTGTGTATATTTCTCAAGTAAAGGAAGTCAAGGAGGCAGAAACAGAGATTTCTAATTGCCATGTCTTTTCTATTTCTGAAATTTCTGCCTTGTACTCTTTTGACTTTGCCTTAGCTGTAGGTGGTTCTCCTGCCCTCTGCTGCTCCAGATACTCATATCTTACAATGCTGATGTTATGGGTGTTTAAAATCAGTCAATTGTCAATGAGATTCAATTTGGCTTACAAAAATAATTTTTAAATGACCTTCTTGGAAAGAAAGATGACATAACTGACTTAATATTTCTTCTCTTTCCTTTACTGTAAGCTGTCAGCTCTTTTCATCTGAAGACTTTGAATATGATACCGTTTAGGATGTTCACTTTAACAGCATACTACTACAAGACCTGTTAAAATTATAGTTTTGTACTAATAACCACAGTCATTCACCTCTGGAGACTGGATTACATTTGAGGAAAACAGGAATAAGCTTCATGCCCTAACAAAGTCTCTTAGCTACCAGAGTATATCCTGTCACAAGGTATTGACAACTCAGTGTTCTTACTGTCAGAACCCCAAATTGCTCCTGCAAGAAAACCTGAAATGTCCATCTAAAGCTGCAGCAAAGCATTCACACAAACCTATCCCTTATCTATGGCAGCCTAAAACCAAATGTCCTCTTGGACTTGAAACTGGCATGATACCTTCTAATGCACTGTGAATTAAAAAAAAAAAGTTAAAGCATTATTAACATTTTATTCAACAAACCATTTATGATTACACCAAAATTCAAGAAAGACAAAAATTAGAGGAGAAAAATAAAGTCTGCTATAACACTAATACTGCAACACTAATAATGTTGAAGGGGGTGGAGGAAGAAAAACTTGAGTCACACCAAAAAAGAACCTGACAGATATCAGCCTAGCAGGCTGATCACACATCAAACTTGCGCTATTCAGCTACTCACCTGGCAGGTTCTCCATTAGAAACAAAGCAAAACAAACAGAAAAATAATAATAACAACAACAAAACACATACAAAAAACCCAATGGCCTTTATGTTATTTGAATCAGGTCCACTATCATAATGTAAATAAATAGATATCTCATTGATTCTGAAGGGGCTTTTTGCACATAAAGGGGGAATGTTTACACAAATAAATACAGCTTTACTTATTCCTAAATAATCAGTGGAAGTAGAAGACTAGAACCGTTATATGTTTCCTGAGATATGACAAGGGCTTTGCACCACATCTTGCCACCAGCATCTGGGTTTCCTATTTAATATTAAACAAAAGTGCACTGCATTTCTGTTGCACATTCCATTTACTTTCTGGAACAAGCCTTCTGTGCTGGGTGCAGGTGCCCAGGTGTTGGCAGAGGGGCTGCAAGGTGGCTGCTGTGAGGTCCTCTGCCAGACACAGCCAGTCCAGTCAGGTCCAAGAGACCCACTGCAGGGCACACCTGAGCCCAGCAGCCAAGATGGTGGCATCTTTATTAGAAACATTTTTAAAAGGGTAAAAAATGTGCAACAGCAGCAGAGAGAGGGGAGTGTGAAAGAAACAACCCTGCAGACACTAAGGTCAGTGATGAAGGATGGGAAAAAGATCAAGTTGTCAGAGCAGAAATTTCCCTGCAGTCTGTTGTGAAGACCAGGGTGAGGCAGGTTGTCCCCTACAGCCCATGGAGGACCTCATCAGAGTAGACATACACCTGCACCCATGGAGAACCCCACGCCAGAGCAAGTACACTGAAGGAAGCTGTGACCCTGTGGAGGAAATAGGTCAGAGCTGGATCCTGACAGGAGCTGCAGCCTGAAGAGAGAAACCCAGAGGAATAAGTTTTCTGGAAGGATCTGTGACCCCTAGGGGACCAAAGATGAAGAAGTCAGTTTCTAAAGAACAGCATCACATGGTGAGGACCAATACTCAAGCAGTTCTTGAGAACCTGTAGCCTACAGGAAGGAGCTTACACTGGAGCAGGGAGAGGAAAGTAAGAAGGAAGAAGAAGTAGAGACAAAGCACTAAGAACTGACTGCAACCTCCATTTCCCATCCCCCTGCACTTTCTAGGTGGAGGAGGTGTAGGACAGTTAGGAGTTGTTACAGATTAAGTGACCCTGTTGGACACCAATAAGAGGAACTGAAAGACCCAGAAGGGTTGGAACAGAGAGGGGTCATTACTCCCCCCACTTCCTGCCACACTCTGTAAAAGCCAGGAGAACCAGAAGCTCAGCCCCTTTCCTTTCTGTGCCTTCTTCCTTGCTGCTACTGCTTGGAGATTCTTCAGTTCACCATGTGCTCTCCAGAATCCAACACCACCGAGTGCTGTGAGGAACCCTCTACTGAAGCAGCCTGGCAGCAATGGACTCTTACCCACCTATTCCTTTAATCATTGAGATCAGTTTCGTATATATTTGTATATTAGTTTATATATCTGTTCTTTCCCCCATGTGTTATTCCTTTTTTCTGTGTTACAGAAATTTTGTTCCAGTTTCATTTTCCAACCCTTAAGTCTCTCTTCTTTATTCCCCTCTATCTTCCCTTGGAAGGATGGAGGGGGGGTAACCAGGAACAATTCTGCCTTCTAGTTTATGGTTCGCCCTTGCTATTTAAACCAGGACAGGAGTGAAGTTCAGCTTGCAAAGGAAGAAGAGGTGAAGGGGAGGTGTTTAAAATTCCACGTGACAAAATGCAGCTTTTTACCACTGTAAGAAATAATTCCTGCTAAGAACCATAAGCTGTTTCATATCTTCATTTGAATTAAGAATCCAGCTTCAAATGAACGACAAATTCATTTCTTTACAGGGCTGGCTATGGTACAGAATTCAGACA